CTGCACAGGGCGAGTGGTGACCCACGGAAGGAACCAAACTCACAGGGTGAGGAGGTGAGGCTCACAGCAGGCACACAGGTGGGGGCTGGAGGGACGGAGGTTGGCATCCCCTTTGGGGTGGTCAGGCCCGTCTGCCCGCTGGGTTAGACCCGCCTGCTGTGTTTATACACTAGGACATCGTCTCCATAAAATCTGATCTGAGGACAGTATGTTTATTAAAATTCGGGTGCTGAATTACTCTTTATACGATACACCGAAATCAGAATGAAAAAGCTTCTGCTGGGATTTCTTTTTGGCTCAGAGGAATTTTGCCTGTGGCTTACTGTTTAAAAATGCCATCATGTCACTTTCAGTGAAACGTTTCATCTTGATGTGAAAGCAAGTGATGGAGGCATGAGGAGGGATCACCACTTAAGTCACAGACCTTAACAGTTTTTTCTGTTGTTCTGGTTTATGCTCATTCATTCCCAGTTGGTAGCGAAGTCAGTGCTTTTGCCTTATAAGCGCATGCCTGGCATTCCTTCTGTCCAGTCACAGTTTTTGAGCACCTCCCATGTGCCAGGGAGTGTAAAGGGAGTGAGACAGTGTCTGTGCTCCTAGAGCGGACATTCCCACGAGGAGTCAGAGAAAGAAAAGCCAAATAAATAACGAACCAAATGTCAGGTAGTGATAAGCGGTATGCAGAGAATTACAGCCCTTTAAGGGGATGGGAAATGGTGAAAGGGGTGTGGGGGGCTGGGGAGATGTGTATTTGGGAAAAGGAAGAAGGTGGGACAGAAGACAGGCAGGCAAAGTGCAGGGAGAAGGGAGGAGAGGGAGGAGGAACATGACCCTGAAGTCAGTGGGTACCTGGTGCCCCGTGCAAGATCTCAGCCTTTCCTCTGATCAATGGGAGGTCACGGGAGGGCTCTGAACAGAGGGGAGTGGGTGGGAGGAGGCTGAAGAGGTCCCCTGGGGTCAGAGTGGAGCACCCCGGAGCAGAGGCAGGGCGCAGGCGCACAGGAACGCCCGTGGGCAGGTGAGCCTGACCCGCCTGCCCTGCCTCCCCCCCCCCCCCGCCCGACAGGAGCGCGAGAGGCCGGTGGGGGTGCTGACGTCTTCTGTCTACGGGAAGCGCATCCACCAGCCCGTGGAGCCTCTGAACCGGGACCACCGCCGCGCCAGCCACGTGAAGGCCGACTTCTACAGGAAGAATGACATCCCCAGCATCAAGGCTCCCGGCTTCGGGCACATTTCTCCAGCCTGACACCCTCCCGTGGCCTGAAGGGCGCGCGGACATGAGAGGTGGCACCGGGAGGGGCAAGGCGGCGCCTTCCTGGGCCTCCCGGAGCCTGCCCGGCAGCCCCTGATGCACCACGGCGGCAGCAGGGACTGCGCAGTACCACGTTCCCTCCCGTTTCCTTGGCGACGAACCTGCCCAAAGCCCTGCCATACTTAGGATGAACGTCTAGGATGACGGTTTTCCTGTGAAAAGATTTCAGATGAAATGATGCTGGAGACTGACCCACTACACTGTGAGCATCTGAATAAAATGAAACCTTTGTTTCCCCTTGACAGTGGTTGGGGTGATTTTTGTTCACTCCTCTCCACTTTGTTCGTGCATCTTCTTGGCAGAGGCTCTCATGGGAAAGGTGTGCAGTTTTCCCTTAAGGGTTATGTACCCCTAGGTACATCAGGCACCGTTTGATCACACAGACAATACTCAAGAGGAGAGATGACGGAAGTGTCTTTGGCACAGCAGAGCTCTAGACACCACAACACCCCTCACCCCTCCTCCCCCGCCGGGGTCTGAGCCACGGGTAACAGTTCTGCACAACTGAGGACAAGAGCCCTAGCAGGACGGGTGGCCTCGGTGGCCAGCAATGCCACTGTCACTTCTGTCAGTGGAGAAGCAGTCATGGGAAGAGAGTGGGCTTTGGTGCTGAACACACTTGGGTCACAGTCTGGCTCCTGCATTTTCTAGCCGCGTGGTGGAGGGAGACGGTTTCACCAGCTTGAGCCCACATTTCCTCGTCTTACTTAACGCGGGCGTTCCAAACCGTGAAGAGTCCGTGTGGGAATCAGGGCGCCCCTGGGGTGTGGTCGGAGCAGGCACAGTGGGGGTTGTGGCCATTACTTTGACCAGTTTTCTTTTAGGAAGCAGCTGCTGCTTTCAACCAAAGTTGAAAATGTTTACTTTGCAGATGATCTGAAACTTTTTCAAGTATTAAGATATTGGCTGTATTTTTTAATGAATGGATCTCTAGGAAGCAATTGTCCCTCATCTGTCATGATTAAATTTCCCATAGCTCAGAGGTTAATGAGCAGGTGGTCTAATTAATTTCGATGCAGATTCCTCCATTGGTCGTTTTATTGTTTTGACTCGCTAAGCACTTAGGACACTGAGTTTCTGGACTTTCAAGGCTGAGTGACTCCTAAATGTTTCTTTATACTTAAAAAAATTTTTTTTCACTGTAGAGAGCTTGTTTTATTTTTTTTCAAACAAATAACAGTTTATTTGGAATGCCTTCGGGTGCATTAAACCATATCTATAATAACATCATAGAAAATATATAAAGTTTGGGTTATGCAAATTTTTATAAACTGCTTTCTTTGGTCTAGATTACCAAGAAAGACAAGGCGTCTTTAAGAAATGCCTTCATCTTAAAGTAGCTGCAATAAACTGATGTCAGACTAACTTATTTTCAGTTACTTTAAGTCTGATCCTTCTCCCTTAACCATCTACTCCTTGTAAAAAGCAGGGCTTGAATTGGGCAAGGTTTCCAAAGCTCTCACAGTTGTTAGGCAGCAAGGGAAAATGAGATGTTAAAGAGAGTTAAAGCCAAATTGCCGAATGCCTGTTAGGCATCATATCAAAGAGCAACATATTAAAAGAATTTGTTTTAATTTATCACATTAATTTATCACACTTCCACCACCAGCCAGTGGTTTTTTTGTTTTTGTTTTGTAAGCAGAGTGTTGCCTTTGGGAAAGCTCACTAAACTGGGAAAAAGAACAACATGGAAGGTTCCTGACAACCCAGGCTTTTCTAAACTGCAGTGTTAAAGGAAGTGGACTCGCCGCGTTTTTCATGAGGGGATGCTTCCTGCAAGACTCAGAGGTTCAGGAAGGTTTTGAGGAGAGAGCCTTACCTGTTATCAGTGTCATCCCGGCACAATGGGCTGACGGACGGGATAGGCGAGTCCTCACATTTGCATGACTTGCTTATAGGAATGTCTGTAGTTGCCAAAACTTGGGAAGCCTTAACCAGGAGTCACACTTTCAGATTTCAGGGAACAGGCAGTTTTCTAGTCTCATCGCGGTCACTGATCAACTGGGAAACCTGGACTTCCCTGCACCTGTTTCTTTTTTGCAAAATGCAGGGGGTCTCAGGCGTGATCTGCAATTACAAGCACCTGAGGAGCTCGTGCTGCAAAGCACAGCCAGCGTGCTGGGCCCCCGCCCCCAGCAGGATTCCCAACTTGGCAGGTCTGGGTTTGACCGCACCTGAAAGTGCTCATTTCTAACAAGTTTCCTGGTGACGCTGCTGCTGCCAGTCAGGGTCCTCACTTTGAGAGACCTGGGTACGCACAGACCTTTGCAAGGTGGACTCTGAATTACTCGCTTGGCGAATCACCCATCTGCGGGTGTCTACCTTTAAGGGCAGGTGCCGATAAAGAGCCCTGGGGTGGGTGCTGTAGGCTCTCAGGAGGAAGAACCACATGGCACAGACTGAAGTCACTGAAACTCAGGGTATCCTAGTCCAGATTTTGGTTCCAGTGAAAAGAAATGTCCTTACACCGTTTTTCTTCTCTCAGTCACCTTTTTGGAGAATTAAGATGTATTAAAGCCAATGCTGAGTTGCAATTACAAGATCCCAAAATTCCTAACTGAGGCAGAGAATTGGACAAGCCACGCTGGATTCTCACTTTGGTAATGAAGGCTGATTGTTAGTTTGGATAAAGCACTTTGGATCGAGCATGAGCCAAAGTGCTGGCGGGGCGGCAGGGTTGGTCCCGCGATGCGCTGGCAGGAGCTAGCCCTGGGGACCTGCCAGGCTGTCTCACAGTCATCAGCTCTTTTAATCAGACCTGATGCCATGAGCTACCCATGAGGAAAATACACCTAAGAGAAACTGAAAAATGTGCTCAAAGTCTCACAGCTGATAAAACACCGGAGTCAGGAATCCCACCTCAAGTTCAAGTTTGCAGCTGCTCCCTAATGGGTCAGTGGGCTCCTCTGCCACTCATGGACGCCTGCCCTGTGCGACAGTTTGCCCAACCAGGCTGGCATTTGCAGTCTTGCTTCTCAACATCTGCTTATGCATGACTGCTCTAGTTTGCCTTCAGCAAAGTATGATTTCTTTACGTAAAGAAAGAAACCAAACCTGCAGTGTTGGATTTATAAGAACAGCATTTTCCAGGTTTTCTCTTTTCAAAAACGCACAGCCTGGCTCTGTGCCTTCCTATCCTCAGACACAGCAGGCAGCTCGTGGGCCTTTGGCAGCTTCTCTCGTTAGCTCACCCTATCGTGGCGGCTGATGTACACTCAATTCCAAATTACCCCTGGTTCCCCAGCTCTACCGAAGTATACAGTAGACCTGTTAGAGCAGGCAGAGAGCTAGGCATGAGCAGAGAAAGGGCGGCATGGGCCAGATGTAGGAAACCATCCGTCAAGTATACAACAGGGGTCCCTGGGCAGACAGAGCAAAGCAGGAACCTCTGGGCTGATAAGAAATCACACATTTTGGGGTGACAAGTGCCCTGGAGGCAGACAAAGGAAGGTGGGAAAAGGCAGGAATCTCTGGTGTCTGAATGTAACCTCTTGCTCATTATGCCCTCATTTCAATAAACTTAGCCTTGCAGATTAGAAGTACCCATCATGCACCAACACCAGGACACTTCCCATCCAGACTAAATAAGGACAAAAATCTCTCCTTCCCTTGGGAAGGTGGAGTTGGGATGAAAATCATGGAAGACGACCCCAATCCTCTCCCTTCCCCAGTGAATATTCCGCCCATTCATTTTCACACCCTATGTAACCAACCTGCCAAAGAAACCCAGCGCAGCTGCTCACCTGCGCCTGCCTGCTCTCGTCTTGAGAGTGTACTGTCCATCCCTTAATAAATCCTCACTTTACTCTCTTTACCTCCGTGTTTCACCTCTGAATTCTTTCTGCGATGAGACAAGAATCTAATCACCGCAGAGACCAGACTACGTGGGCAGAGAGGGTGCTGTTGCTAGTGAAGAATCTCTTTATGTTAAAATATTCTCCCCTGAAAATGTTCCCTAGAGACGCCGAAATGAAAACAGACCACGTGACACGTTGAAACACGCTGTCTTTCTTTCCAGGGAGCTGCCTGATCAGTTACCGGCATCACAAACTTCGTCCTGATCTGAAGTACTCAAGGATATCTCAGTCTTTGCTTCTGGAGGGGTCCTTCTGCAAGAACTGGCCACACAGAAGAGTAAACAGAAAACCGAGTCAATCCTGGAGCAAACCGCAGGAGAAAGCAGAACGGGGCGGGGGCGGGGGGAGATACAGACTATCCAGCAAAGTACATAAAACTTTTAATGAATTAACCTTACAAAAGACAATGGCATCAAAACATCAGACACGTTTGGTACAAAACTAGTCCTAGGTTGTAAGAACTAATTCTGGTGATGGATGGCGACGTGCTGTTGGCAGGAGACAGGACAGGGCAAGGAGACGGGGCCACGGATCCCAGCGGGGCCCGTGGACAGCCCCTGCAGAGAGACACGTGGCTGGACACGGATTCCAGGTGGGGCGACAGAATCAACTTATTCACAAATACTGTGTGTTTCAGTATCGGACTAGCAGATGCAGTTGGCGAGCTACCGTATTTTCCAGAAAAGAACATGCACCGGAAGATAATATACACCCCCTAGTTTTATTGCCTTAAGAATTTGTGTTTGCTTCACCTCTCATCTCGGTTAGTTCTCTGAATGCTTTTCTCCCCAAAAGCGCACTTGTTTCCCTCTTGCTTAGGAATAAGCACAGTGCAAGTGGCAGAGAGACCTTGGCACACATCAGACACCGAACGGTACGCCACCGGGTGGCAGGGAGGAGTCTGCAAAGGCTCCGGAGGACAGAACAGAGCACGCACATCACAAACGAGGGACAGACTCGCAGTCAGAAAGTGCATTGTAGCTTCCTGAAAATACAGTCTTCTTGCCGAAGTGAAGGCGACGCTTCAGGATGCCAGGTTGCTCTGGGAAAGGGACCTTGACATCTCTGTGTTCACAAAGTACGTCTTCAGCTCCCCCTTTCCTTTCACGTTGATGATTCCTCGGCACGTGCATGTGTACCCCAGGGTCTGCAGGACGAGGCTGGTCTCCTCCGTGACCTAGAGGCACAGGGACAAACGAAGACGTGCTCAGTGCCGGTGTGGTCACGACCCTTCCCAAGGTCGTCTGACCACAAGGACAAGGAGCCCCGAAGTGTTCACGTTCTTTGACCCATTCATTCTACTCCTGAGAATTAGGAGAAGAGGTAACAGTCGAGGAGCAGGAAAGCTTTCCGAGGTCGATGTTTAACTCAGTGCTGTGACAG